GGGGGGGGGGGGTGCGCACCCCCTGCACCCTCCCCCTAGATCCGCCCCTGGTTTAAAACAAAAAAATAAATAGTAAAATGTAAAAAACAAACTAACAAAAGTAATTCATGACCCTGCATCACGCTACGGGGAAGTTGATTGTGATTGGCTTATTTGATTGACAGGTTTGACAACGTGGACATGCCTATCGCCACGGACAACTATCATGGTCACTATACCATGGCCCCTTTTGTTTCTCCTTCTCTACGCTTTCTTGGATAAGGAGCCTATCAGAATAAAAGAACCACCAATCGGAAGTGGCGCCATTCTACCAGAAGGAGACAACTTAGAGGATAAACAAGGAAGTTCCTTTCGTGACAGATTATTTGTCGCTAAGGAAATATTTCCTTATATCTTATTCCTGCTTATTACGTACTTTTCAGAGTATATTTCGAATCACGCCATTATAACAACGATAGCATTTCCAAACGCACCGTTCAAACCCCGGGACCATTATCCATACTACATACTTTCTTATCATATCGGCAAGTTTATGGGCCGTTCACACTTACTATTAGTTTCCGCTGTTTGTCCTAAACTAGTTCAACACGTCAGAATCAGACGGACTTGGATTTTAGCTTTGATAGAGTTCCTACACGGGGTTTTCTTCTTCCTCGCGTCTTGGTTTCGATTTGTTCCGCGTGTGGAAATCATTATTGCCTTATGCGCGACCGAGGGTTTTACAGCAGGCTCGATGTACTTGAACTCAGCTCACACTGTTTCAGATATGATTACTGATCCTGAAAGGAGGGAGTTCGCACTTTGTTTGCTGACTGTGGGTAACGCGTGTGGAAAGCTCAGCGCAGGGTTATTAGGTCTATTCCAAGAACCTTTTCTTATGAAACACTGCATGGAGGATTTAAAGCTGGGGCAATACTGTTTGACGAGACATGCTCATAAGGCAGGGTGGAATAAAAACTTACATTGTTAAAAACGCTTTGAGTGAAATTCTCTTTTACTAGTAAAAAAAATTGTCTATTTTAGTTCGCCATTCGCCACTTTGGAAACTAGAGGGAAACTTGGCCAAGACTGTTACTAGGGACAAGGACAAAAAATGGGGCAAAAGCTGACTGGCGCGTTAAAAGGGAGCGACGACAACGAGAACAGCAATAAACAAATAGGTTTAAATTGGCAAAATAAACAACTTTGCACGTGCATCACGCTTTTTTTGTACGCTTCTTAGCCGTCGTTGCAAGACTACAACGAGAAAATGCCTAATTTCACGTTTTGTCGAGGACGGGAACACAAAACAACAACTTTCTTTTTCTTTTCCTGAACTTTGATAAAATCCTTTAGAGTTCAACTCCAAAAAAATTTGACAACAATTGACGAATTAAACGAGATGGAATAAGCGCGATAAAGTTTGAGGCAGCGCGAATTCACTTTTTAAGTGACGTTTTCATAACCGTCGACGTCGTCGTTGCTTAACCCTTTAAACCCTAACATCAAAATTCAAATTCTCATTTGTTATCCCTATACGTTTTCGATAGAAGAAGTGGAGAGAATTTGTTCAAGTATCAATTAGATTCATCTTGTGTGATCATGTCCTTAATTCTCATGACCACTCTGTTTTACAAAGCAGTGATATTACATGGAGAAATTTGACGCTGATCACCCTTAGGGATTAAAGGGTTAAAGGTAACGCAGACTCTAGGAACGAGATTGGTAAAGATGCCAAAAACAGTTGCAGGACGCATTTCGGCTCCGGTTAACTTCTCGTTTCTTGATCTTAAGTGGCGAATTAAGCACTGACCTTACATGGTGCGCTTTCTTTTAGTTACTGTTAGGTTTGTCAGTACAGGGGCGGATCCAGGATTTTTTTTAGGAGGGGGTGCACTCGTCTCTTGCTCTACTTCAACACCAATAAACCACATAGTTTTTTTTTTCGCAGAATACCAGCAAACCGCAGGTCATCTCAGGGGGAGGGGGGGGGTGCGCACCCCCTACACCCTTTCCCTAGATCCGCCCCTGCACTGTACGAAGGTTTTAAAAAGTCACAACATGGAGAAAAGAACGCATTCCTAGCCGTCCTGCTATTGCTCAAAAGTACCCTCATTTTGCGCTAAAAGGAGGTGCTATTTTCTCGGAAAGAAGGGCACCAACTAAAACTGTTAATGACAGTCCCTTGTTAAGTTTGATCCTTCAAACGAAGATTCTGTGACTTCGTATTTCTCTTCTGCTATTATTGATACGATAGTCAGAGAGCTTATACCTGCAGGCTCCACCCCGAGGTCCAACCCCTTACCCTTTTATATACCATTTTCGACAGAAAACGTACCCCTTTCATTCACCTCTGTTAACAAATGGTACACGTACCCCTTTTAGTGATATAGTTTAGGAGGCTGCACCTCTTTTACTGCTAAAGCCTGAATAAGGCACTCCTACCATCCTCGCCCTGGAGCCAGCAAAAAAAATTACAGAATTATATTTCATGGACTCTGCAAAAGGAAAAATATTTAATTCAAAAAAAGAGAGATCAAAAAGCCACCACAAATCGTTAGCTTGTGAAGGGTTAAGAGGCAAAAATGATAAATGACCTCATTCACTCCCACAGCCAACTATTAAAGCTGAACAGGATATTGCCAAAAGTCAACCTTGCGATATCTCAGTGTCAGAGCAGGTTTAAGTNGGCTCCACCCCGAGGTCCAACCCCTTACCCTTTTATATACCATTTTCGACAGAAAACGTACCCCTTTCATTCACCTCTGTTAACAAATGGTACACGTACCCCTTTCAGTGATATAGTTTAGGAGGCTGAACCTCTTTTACTGCTAAAGCCTGAATAAGGCACTCCTACCATCCTCACCCTGGAGCCAGCAAAAAAAATTACAGAATTATTTTTCATAGACTCTGCAAAAGGAAAAATATTTAATTTAAAAACAGATATATCAAAAAGCCACCACAAATCTTTAGCTTGTGAAGGGTTAAGAGGCAAAAATGATAAATGACCTCATTCACTCCCACAGCCAACTATTAAAGCTGAACAGGATATTGCCAAAAGTCAACCTTGCGATATCTCAGTGTCAGAGCAGGTTTAAGTGTGCTAGCAGATATATGGGCCAACCATTTTGCGAAAGATTTGGACGCCATTAATTCTTTAACTTTCAGAGTGAATCACGGAACAATGTAGGGTAGCTCTGACTATTTAGTCTGTGTATGAAAACCGTGTGATGTTTACATTCGAATGAAACTTCTTTTCCAGTACTTTCAAACAACATTTTGATTTTCATCTTTTTACAAAATGAAATTTGGAAATTCTGTCAAATTTCAACTTTTGCCACTTTTGGGAGTGAACAACTGTAGTGATCAGACACAGAAAGGGGGACCCACTCGTTTAGACTTTGAGGGAGGGGATTGTCTCAAAAAGCAAGAGGGGCTGGCCAACTTGTAACTTTTACTACAAATAACGATGACCACCAACACTACCACCACTGCAACCACCGCCACTACCACCACCACTACCACCACCACTGCCACCACTACCACTGACATTACCACTACCTCTACCACAACCACTACCATTATCAAATATTGCTTTCTGATAGACTACTCAAGCAGGCTAGATGGGTCTATCCAATTCTATCTGCTTGGGATTTCCCACTTTGTCCCACAGAAAGGATCATTTTGTTTTGGCTTCAAATAAAATTTAATGTTTTTTATGGACCTTCATTTTGTTCTGGTCCATAAAAACTCAAAAAAAAGTATTTGACCAATATCCAGCCATGTTAGCAGAAGAAGCTTGGCCAATAATGCATCATAATGTTGTTAAATACGTTATAATAATTATAATAAAAATTATTATTATTATTCATTTAAAATCTTTCTCTGTTTCTGATCGACTCAAATTCCACGCGTAATTCATCATAACCAGCTACTGTCGACCAAATTTGGAAGAATTTTGCAAAGTGTGAAAAATGATGTCAATTGTGCAGCATAATTGCCAGAAAACTGAACAGTGTAATCAAGAAGACTTGGGGAAAACCAGTGTGATCAAGACCACCTTACCAGTTATTTTGGTAGTGAGTACAAAATGGCAGAACATTTCACTCGTTTCAAGAGGAAGAAATAGGCGAACTTTTGCCTAAAAACATAGTAAGAACAGCAGGAAGACAACTTGATGGACACCATCTGCTATTTGCCGGGAGAATATTAATTTTGCAGTACTGAACAACCCTTTAACTCCTAAACTTGCCAATAAACAGGCAATTGAAGATGAACTTAACACTGATGGAGGTAAGCATGTTTTAGCTTGTTTTTAAACAAGGAATTATTTTGAATGAACAATAAAACAATTATTGAATTCAGCTTTCATATCATCTGAAAAATTATGGAGATCTCAGAATGTGTTGTCCGCCGAGGCTGATTCACCCTCCTTAATCTCCATAATTTGTCAGATGATACTCAGCCTCACCCAATAACTGTTTACTATAATCAGTATCATATTAAGTACTAGTATATAATAAACCTCTCCCACACACTGTATTATTATATATTATTATATCATTTTTTATGAAGAAAAGAATTATATGTACCATATTTGTCAGTTTACTTTCTTGGAGAAGTCTTCTCTTCACAAAACACAGTGCTGCAACTGAAACTGGCATGGTCCTGGCAAAAAAACTTTGTGATAAGATATAAATGAGTGAATTAAAGACAACTGTTACTAGTAATTTTGTTTTTTCTGCGTCTTGCATCACTGATGCTTAAAACTCCTTAAAGACGCAAAATGATTCATGACATGTCTCCCATAGGACGCAAAGATTGATCGATTGATTGATCCATGTGTTTTTGCAGAAATATCCTTATCATGTAACTTTTGTCGCAATAATTATTATTATGGCTGTTGTTTAAAGATGCATACTTCTTTTAGCCTTTGTTGTGCCTGAAAATAGAAGGACTAGAGTTTAATTTCAGTATACTGTAGTAAAATGTTTTGGGGTCTGTCTTCGGATTAACTGTCTAGTTACATAACGGTCCAAGCATTTACAATTTATGGATTCATTTTTTTTTTTAACTGGGACTCATTGGTTCTAGACTGGGACTCACAATGTTTCACAAAATGAGCCCCAGGACTCACCTTTATAACTATTTGTATTAAACAAAATCACTGTTAGTAATACACAGTTTTTATTCCCTAGACCCCTGATTGAGTTGTGTTTTATTTGCTTCTGAAGTAAGCAGACACCCCACTATCTGCAACCTTCATGTTCCCCATAATGGAATTTATTTGTTTTTCTCACAAAAGTTTGCACAAGTATTGTTAAATTTCATTTTCTCAAAGGAAGATAATTATTAGTCCAAAAAGAAAACATGGGCAGAGAGATTAGCAGTGTTTCAAAAATAGGCCAATGATAAATACCCACTATTTTCTGGGGTCAGGGCTGGCCAGTGGTACAAATGACTGATGCATTATTAAGGTCAGCCTGAACATATAAAATTCAATTAAGACTCAGATGTTAAATAAAACACATTATTATTTATTAAAAAGAAATTAAAAATTTAATTTCTGATTGGCTCAAATACGCCAGCTAATTCTTCATAACCAGCTGGCATTGACCAAACTTGGGAGATGTGAGAAATATATCACTGATTTGATAGTTTAATGCTTAAGTAGCCTCGTTTTTCTCTCGTATAAACAGCCCTAATATGCAATTCAAGTAAACATAGCTGGTGTATTAGATTTGAACAAGAGATGTTGGGCATGTGTCTCAGAGACCCATTTAAGTCGCTTTATGCTTCTGAGCTGGTTGAATGCCAGGGTAAAAAATGCGCACTTAATATTCAAAGTTAGTGCATTGTACCAGATTGAAGAGGCTCACCGTTTGACTGGCGTGTGTCACTGGCCTATAAAGCACAATATTCGTGTTTTCAAGACTCTTCTTACCCTTCTGTAGGTAAACATTTGGTGACCTTTGCACAGTAAATTTAACTTGCTAGCTCAAGACTGAGCTCAAATTCTTTACACTGCACCCATACAGTTTGAAATTCCTCAATATACAGTCAATGGTGCACATTGGTCACTGTTCAGCCTAAATGATATATCTGGAATCCAGATTACAGATAAAGCATTTAACGCAGAAAGAAAAGGAAAACAAGAGCTTTCCCTCCTTTTTCCTGATTACTCTGTATCTATCCAAAACAGAATTCATTCCAAAATCTTAAACGCCTGATATGAATTGCTGCCTATGCCAGAACTAGTTCGTCCCAGGTGTTCAGAGAGTTGGGACATGGTGAAGCGAAGAAAAGAGTGTTATAAAGGGGGAGGATCAGGAAACTGGAAACAGCTCATCAAGAGAGTGAATGCCTGGCAACATTCTTAGGCATTTTCTCCTTTTTCATTCTGCTTTTTCCCTCTCCTCTCCATTCTGCACTACTCCACCAATATCTGAATACCTGGAACAGGGTACCCCAGAACTGCTGTTTTTTTGCTTCAGCTGGTCACCTGATGATCGTGTTATTAACAGAAAACCTATAGCCTGAGAGAACAGCCGTTTCTCCACGCTCCTCACTGCTGGGGATGTTTTGCAAGGAGGAACATCTGTGACTCAGCGACAGAAATTCCATACTGATGACATAAATCAATGTTTACATAATAAATCCAGTAGTCGTGGGGTTCTAAATGCAAATTTGTTCAATTTTACGTCTCTTCTGGTCGATTTTGGTAAAGTGTTGTGTTCATCTGCGAAGGAGCTCTAGCAAAACTTAAATGCTTCTTCTAGAGAAGATGATATTCCACAAATAATGACTGTTTTGTTAGAGATTTATCACGTTTACCTTTGACCTTTGTAGCCTTTTGTCTTTTGTCTGTCATTCTTAAACAATAGCTAAAACAATGTAACTACTCTGCCATCTAATCAGCGCTTATGACCGGATTCCAGACAGATTTTATGTCATCAGTATGGAATTTTTGTCGCTGAGTTGCAGACATTCCTCCTAGTGAAACGTCCCCCGGCGGCGATGAGCGTGGAGAAATGCAGGCTAGAAAATTTACACCTTTGCATATTTCTTCTTGTGCAATAGCTGTCCAAAGCCAGTCAACTTCATGAGTATTTCATATGTGCAATTAATTATCCCCCATGACATTAAAGCCCTTGTGTAGTTCAGTGACACACCATAGAACAAACGTCGTATTCTTCTACCACGCTCTTGAAACACAACATTGAAGGCTTTCCAGACATTGATAAATTCACCTCCTAGCTGTTTCTGCATATGACTTTTAACTACATTTATTGGGAAGGCCAGTGTGCTAAGACAAGCACCTAAGACTGCGCCACTGACAAAATCATTGGCTGCGTTACCAATGCTAGTCTTTGTCTCTGGAAGCAAGGATTTTATAGGACCTCTAAGGCCAAAAAAGAGCACATTAGAGGGTCCATTCCTTAAGAGTATGGGAGTGAGGCCTCTGTAGTATTCCAGTAGTCCAAACTGTTTTCCTACAACTCTAAATGCATGAAAAGTATTTGTAAATCTCTCATTATGACCTCGATGAGACATTAACGTTTGCACGCGTTCAAATGGTGTCAAAGAAGCTTCCAAGCTTCCAGCTAGTAAGGCAGCTACTGCATTCGTTTTCACCGAAGATGTGTTGGGAAAAGTCTTTGAAAGCACTCTTTGAAACTTGTGGTAACAACCGAACATAATAGCAAGAGAAGTACCTTTTTGCATCAATGGAGGCAAAACACCCCGGTAAAGGTTTGCAATTCCTTCTTTTAAGACCTGTCTCAGAGCTTTACGAAATCTTAACCCCTCCACCTGCTGGCGAAACATCACCTTGTAGGCGGGGAAGGTTACGATGATATTAACAACTGCGGCTCCTGCACCACAAGCAAAATCAGGCCAGTCTCGTTCATCGCGTTGTCCAGAATCAAAAGAAGACTTTCCATTTGAGTTTCTTGAGTCTACAGCCATTGTAAATCCAGTGACAGTCTGTAAAAGCTGCAAAAGTACTGGCCCTTAGGCCGCCATGTTGGTTTGACCTCCCTCTCCACTTTCCCATGATGCATTGCTCTGCTGTTTTGACGTCATGACAACAGAGTTATCGTGTAACAATATGGCGGTCTGACATTGTGCACAAGTTATACGTTTTGTACCGTTATACAGGGAATTTTCCGTAATATGGAAAGCGATGTGATATATAAGAAGTTCAATTGAAGTTTGAAGTGACATCTACGTTATGTCTGGTGTATTAGGTTCGCCAGGTCAGCTTATTACCAGCTTAGATGAAGACGGACTTCAAGAGTTGTACACTTGGATTGATGAAATCAATCTATCTCGACCGAAGCGTAACATTTGGAGAGATTTCAGCGATGGAGGTAATGTTATCTACAGGATCTCGTAAAAATATATTAAAATTACCAAGGATTGATAAAATCGAGGGCTGATGACCAGAATATGAACATTAAATTTGCTGGCTACAAACAGAAGTTCAGCTTATTAAATACGTATCAAATCAAATCTCAATCAAAAACTTGTGAATAAATTGTCTTTGCATTTTTTAAAGGTTATTAGGGAGGTAAAATAAATATATATGTTTAATTTTATGTATGAAAGTGACCATGATCTTGTCGTACAACATTCATTGACCCAAACTTATAGTTCCGAGATTAATGTAACTACTAGCTAGCTAGGTGGAATACCTACTAGCCTGTACTAGGTACAAGCATTTTAATCAAGTGCACAATTTATTGCTTTCCCAACAAATCGACAGATACATACCTTGCATACCTTGCATACGTTCATGCTCCTTACTGGGGAGGCATTAAACAAAATTGTTTGTACAAAGCTTTAGCACCAAGTTTCAAGATCATCTCAATCTATGACTTTGCTTTGAAGCTATTACATGCACATGCTTTTTGCATTTTCTTTAATAGCAATTCCCCAAACTGTTATGTTATAATGCATTGCCTTTGTGTATATTTTTGAAAATAATTTTGTTTTTTCAGTCCTAGTTGCAGAAATTGTGGCACATTTCCTTCCCAAGATGGTGGAAATTCATAACTATTCATCTGCAAGTTCACAGGCTCAGAAATTAACAAACTGGGACACACTGAACCGTAAGTTCCCAGCAGCATGATTGTGCTTCCTGTAATTATTGTGTTTACAGTTTCCATAGAAACTGTTCACTATGCAGTCATGCCATGACTGTAATTTCCCTGAGTAAGAAAAGCGATAATTCTGAAGGCCAGATATAAAACATTGTATGATTCAGTTTGCAAACAAAGGGAGTCTATTATGCTCTAGTCGTTGCTTGTCATTTTATTAATTTAATTTTTTTCTAGTCAAAAGTGAGAATAAACTTTGCAAATAAGGGGTAACTGTGGTCAGCGGGGTGCTACATAACATGAGGGTGAAGTGTGACCTGTTGAATCAAAAAAATCTTTTTCCTGATGCAAGAGGTCACACTTCATTTTCTCTTCAATACGAGTCAACGTCATGTTATATAATGACAGATAAATGAGCATCACCTTGTGTTTTGAAAAATTTTCTTCCATGCAAGAAGTCACACTTTATTTTCCTCGACAAAACAGGTTATGTGTCACAGCAAGCCAATAAAATCGCAAGTGTACAACAGACTATATGACAAAAACTGTAAACACATTCTCTCTCTAGAAAGCCATTTTTTTGTACTTGAGGTCAAGAAAATTTTGTTTCTGGGCAAGTAATTTAAGGATCATTATGAGTTTCTGGGAAACTGCCCACCTACCCCTCCCCTAAGCCAATATTTTGCCCTAAGTGAGAAGTAAGTGTTTATGTTGACTTAGGGGAGGGGTAGGTGGGTATTTTCCCAGAAACATATAATGACCCATAATTTTCTGTGGTAACCAGCCCAACAGGCAAGGGCCCAGGTCAGTCATTTTCTAACTCCAAAGAAGACAAATAAAAGATGAAGATACCATGGCCCTGGGCAAGGGTTGAGATGATAACATTCTTGTATCTAAGATTTCAAGCCTTTTTTTTTCCTCAAAACTGACCAAATGTTTGCATGTACCTTTCATCCATAGTAGCTATCAATTTTTTACATACATGGTTTTTAAGAAAAACAAGGCTGTAAAGTCAAGTTAACTTCATTTTTGACTCAGCAGAAATAAAAGTCAGAGACATATTCAAGATAATATTATGCTTTTGTGTTTAAGCACAGGTCCTGGTTGTTGAAACGTTGGATAGAGCTACCCACTGGATAAATCACTATCCAGTTGATAAGTCTTAAGGAAACCAATAATAGCTAAATTTACTGGATAGATTTTTATCCGGTGGATAGCGCTATCTAATGTTTGAACAACTTTGGCTGGGTGATTATTTTATTCTTCTGTGCTGTTTGCTTTCAGGAAAGGTTTTCTCAAAGCTTAGCTATACTGTGCCAAAGTCAACTGTTAAGGATGTCGCTGAATGTAAACCTGGGGTGATTGAAATTGTGTTAGCCAATCTTAGAATGAAAGTGAGTTATTTTCTTCTTTTCTCTTTTGGCATCATCAGACAATGTATATCCCCACTCCCTAATTTTAGACTGTACTGAGCCATTTTCTTGTGTGCTGCATAGAAGCTATATAGCAGCAAGCAAATTACCCACCTTTATATTGCAATTTTAATGTGTAAAAACTTAGCCTAGGTAGCAGGTGCTTGGAAGTAACGGGTGCAGGAAAGAACAGGGTGCGTGAGAGACTTTAAAGAGGTCTTCTCTTTAGAGCATTGTTTTTATCTAAAAGGTTAACATGAGGTTTCATGCTGGTGAAGTTGTTTGGCAAGTCCCCCTTGCAATTCCCAATTTCCATGGTAGACGGGGACAAGCAAAGACATTTGCACAGAAATATTGCCCTGGCGGTGGGAACATTTACTCACTTTCTCTAGCTTATTTTTCAAGGTCCCTGCTTATGCGCGGGTAGAGGGGGTTGGGGGATTACATTGACTGGTACATTACTGTTTGTCATTTCCTTTTCCTTTTTTGCCTTTGTCAGATTGAAAAGTTTATGGCGAAGAAGAAGGCTGATAGTTTACGAAAGTAACAACAAGTTTATGATGAGTTTTCTCCCAATGGCCCAATCACTGATCATGAACCTTACATGTATGA